TGCTCCCAGTGAGGTGATTACTGGAGAGGTCCAAAAACTGTAAATTTCGAAGCTTTGATAGTTCTGGAGGGATGGCTTCTGAAAGGTTATTATGATCAATATAGACCAAATGGAGAAAGGATAAATTGCCAAGAAATCGAGATAGTCCACCTCGAAATTCATTTTCACTTAGATAAAGTTCTTCAAGAGATGAGAGACTACCCAATAAAGGAGGAATAATTCCGTTGAGCTCATTGTGACTTAGATCGAGCTCCTTAAGATGGGAAAGGTTGCCCAAAGAAGAAGGTAGGCTTCCAAGTTGATTCGAAGATAAATAAAGCACTTCGAGGGACGACGATTGCAAACCTATCTCCACTGGCATTGCGCCTTCAAATGAATTGTACGATAAGTCCAAAGTTTGCAACTTCTTTAGCCTGTAAAGCTCTGCAAAGACCCCAACAAAAAAGTAGCATCAGGATTGAGGAAAAACCCCATGGAATCTCCATTATGGAGAATCTGGGAATTTATGATCTGCTACATAAAAAGTTCCAAAAGTATGCGATGTCGCCGAAATGGGAAATGTGATTTTTTGGTGCTTTTTTCTTTTTTTTACACCAGTTTGCTCCATCTTTTGATGATCTCAGTTATCCCAATTTCATAGTATTTAGAGGGAGTGACATTACTTTCCATGCTTTTCTAGAATTACCAGACAGAGGGACTTAGGGCTTCACTATGTACATATCGCTCATTTAGGATATGGCCCTCGATAGAACAAAATAGGGACCTGAATTTGTGTATTCAGCCTAGTGTTCACAAAATCGAACCAAAACTGTTAATCGGACATAGGGTAAGAAGCTGTTTAACCGGCCTAACCGGTAAACCGGTCGATCCAACAGTTCTAACTGGACAAGTCCTGGGCGTTCAGCAAATTGTTGAAAAAAATAAAAATGATACAAAAAAAACTACTAAAATGTGAAAAGCATATAGAGAATGATTAAAACAAAACACACTCAACTGAAGTTTCAAATTAATGAAAAAATGGATTTTAAAGAATCAATTTTTGCTTAGGGGTATTTTTAAAATTTTTTAAAAAAGATTGAAAAATATAATAATGAGTATTAATGACAAAAAATTTTTTTAATATTTTCCATAATATTAAAAAATATATATATTACAAACAAATTCCTTAATTTTTAGATTTTTATATATATTTTTTTGAAATAGATCGCCTGATTTTTCTAACATTGATTAGACCTCAAATGGTTGAAAAAACACTCTGATGATGATGATAACATCAAGGCAAAAGCACCTTATTTGTGTATTTGCTCTTCTCTCTCATTTTGCATCCATGGCTGCCTCTCTCTCTCACAAACACACACACACATACTGGTGTTTCTATATAAGACTGCTACTCTCTCGAGGAATTGCAACGCGTGTAACCACACACACTCCCACTCGGTTTTGTAAAATTTTGAAAGCATACCAAATTTTAATAATGAACATCAAAACTGATGGCATGATCTTAACTGCCTCCTATGGAACCGTTAATTCAAAAGAAAAAGAGTGCCAAGAGTGAGAGATTCAGCACCTTTAATGAACAATGAACCACGCAAGTTGTTGTCTGAAAGATCGAGGAACTGAAGTCCTTCAAGCCGAAGAAGAGAAGTGAGATTGATATCAAGAACTCCCAAAGCATGCAATCCCAAACCAACAACCTGACCCTCTTTACCGCACGTCACTCTCAACCAGCCACAGCAATCCGTTCCCTCCCATGAAAGAGATAATTGCTCATATGCGTAGATTTGATTAAGGAAAGAAGCTTTGAATGCCAAGAGAGCTGCTCTTTCTCTCTCCAGGCACGAACATCCAACCCAAAAGAAAATGTTGATTACGCTTGACATAAGAAACAGGCATGAGGCAAGTGATTTTTTGTGAGAGCAGAGAGCCCCCATGACTGACCTCTTTCTTAACTGAATTCGAACACACACATAGACTCTTTATAGCAGATGCTAAGCGAAGTATAAAAATAAGCATAAATTTTTAAGATATTTTGAATTCTCAGCAATTGCTTTGCTGGTTTTTGGTTCTATATAATAAAGTAGCTAACTGTATCAGTCAAACTGAGATTCCAAATTTATTTTACTTGGAAATGGATTTGCAGAGTAAGTGTTGCTTTTTGGTTTATGTAAGGACCCAAAAACTTTATCTAAATTACAAAATAAGCCGATTATAGGCAGAAATTAAAAAGAAGGTCGGACAACCAGCGTTTTTTTATTTTTTTTAAAATTGCCTCTCGGTCTAAGGATGCATCCTCATACCACTTTTTTTTTTAGTTTTTTTGTTAGTAGGCGGTCCCCATCCTCGAACAGCTATTTCTTTCTTATTTTTTGAGAAAAATAGCGGTCCAAGGTCTCCATACTCGGACCGTGTTTTATTTCTTATTTTTTAAGATAAACAATGGTCCGAGGTTGGGGATCTCGAACCGCTCTTTAGACTGAGCAAAACTCAATTCTTGGGAGGTCCGAGGTCCCCATCCTCGGACCGCGCTTTATTTCTTATTTTTTGAGAAAAACAACAGTCCGAGGTTGGGGATCTTGGACCGCTCTTTAGACCGAGCAAAACTCAATTCTTGGGAGGTCCGAGGTCCCCATCCGCGGATCGCACTTTATTCTTTAATTTTTGAGGAAAACAATGGTTTGAAGATGGGTACCTCATATTGGTCTATTGGGGTTTTGTTGTGTTCGCAGGGCAGTCCAAGAATTCTAACCTGGACTGCCTAGGCACAGCACCTAAAGTTTTA